GCCGCCGCCTCACCACATACCGCAGATTTTGTTTTGTAAATGAACAAAAACATGAATGTCACAAAATAATTTCTGCAATGTCCAATGCGTAAAGATTATCTAAACATATAACAGTAGGATTTCGATCAGAACGACAAATAGTGGTTACGAAAAGAGAGCATTTATTCACTTTCCCCGTGAAGGAATTTAAATTTCACTCGATTACGAGGTTTGCCCACCTATCTGTCCATTCCTAGCGCCTGGCAAGCGATTATCAGCTTGGCAGCCCATATGGGCTGCCATCGTCCCAGAAGCACATGTTGTTGGCATATGGGCGACCATCGGCGTGAATGTGTTGAATCAACCACACTATTCTCTAGTGCTCTACTTTTAAGCGCGATAGAAGAACTAATGAAGACTCCATTCGATTTAGGAAACGTGGCCATACTGCTTACTATATAAGAACCTTCTCTCTACGATTCTTGGTGCATGATTCAAGCCAAAAATAATTCCATTTCATGGTTTTTGTTCAAGGGCCTGTAGTCACTTCGGTCTAGCATCGCAGGCACCCTACGACTATCCGGTATACCTTTCCTTTGCATCCATACAGCGTGTATGCAAGCCTTTATCGTCAGTTCCACAGACTCTCAGCAGCCATATCACTCACCATGTGCTGGAGTCTTCTACTGTTTCTATGCATTCCTCATGTCCGTCCTTAATCGGCTCTTTACCCCCTCTAGAGCTCAGGAGCTTGACCATCTTCACGTACCTACGGAGCCTGCCGCATACTCTTTGTTTCTTGTCCTGAAGGTCTTCTCTACTGGCTGGTAGCAGAGCGATGTCGTCGACGCTTGGATGGTTTCTATAGTCCTTCTTTTAGTTCCTTCACCAGAACATCTGGTTTCAGGAGGAAGAGGACGAGTTCAGAGCTGACCCTTGGTTGAGCCCACCCATTATGTGCATCTCCTTCGGCGACGCAAGGTACGTATAACCGCATTGATCCCCTGTAGATTTCTTTGCTAGAAAGGCTAGGTGTTCTGGAAAGGTCCGTTCTCTGAGCTCTCTTCATCATGCTGCTGGCGGTAGACATGTATACCATATAGGTTGAACGCCTCTTTGTTATGTGGGCTGGAGATAACGGTGGGGGGGGAGGAAGGTCGGTTCGTTTTTCTTAGATAGTTCTTCCTCGTTTACTAGTGATGAAGATGCATCTATTTGTATTTCAGCATGAACACGAACATGTCTATCTCATTTATCAGATCCTGATGCTTCTAGTCCTACGTGTATGGAGTACCTCATCACTTCGTTCCTTTCAGGCGATGAAACCGTAGTGCTTATTCTTCAACAGCAGATCCTCCTTCAGAATCTGTGTTTCAAGAAGCTGTGTGCCATTTTTCCCGTCCTATCTGAGCTTCATGTCTCTATTGGAGCTGCATCCGAGCCGACCGGCTTTCACATTCCTAGCGCTCGTCAAACCTCATCCTCTGTCCAGAGTGCGATAGGACCAACTATCACCTCTGCTTGTGTGGTCTCTTATGAGTCTATTCCCTGCTCAAACTCTAGTAGTATTCTCAGTTCTTCCTTTTGGCAACACACTACGCGTTAATTTATTCCACCCTAAAATTTGGTACCAGTTCAGTGTAATGTTGGAAATGCTGCTATCACCGTTAGATTCCTCATTACGGAAAACCTTCATAGTGTTTTTCTGACAAATTCCCCTCTCAAGTAACCCAATTAACTTTTTTAGATCGAATTTTCACCGTTTCATGGATATCGGGCCACTCATAAAAAGTTTCATTCACGAGAAGGAACTTCAGATGAGCCGGATATGTTATCAGTTCAACATTGAGCTATTATCATTTACCTGGGTGACCCGCCTTGCTTCCGATAACAACACAACAGAACATACTAAGGTTGTTATGCTGAGAGGTCAGAACTACCTCTCTAGGTCAGGTTTCAGCTCATACCCGTTATAATACAACTTATTATAAGAATCTGTCTTGCGAGGAAGAGGAGTAGTTCTAGCTGTCGCATGAAGATTATTTTATTCTAGTTCGATGAGGAATGGCGGGCGGGCCTATCCGTTTCTTGTTCATTGTATCTAAAGAAGTCTAATAAGATGTGGACTAAATGCGGTATTGTCCGGCGTCCGTCGCAATAACATGTGTGGTGGTACCAGCACAACAAGATCTTAGGATTGATAAGTTGTACAATGTTATGGGCATACAAATTATTATCCATTTCATTGGAAACACTTAAAGGAATCTTGCGCGGAAAAATCATGATTCTATTTCAGCCATAAATCACTGGCTTGAGACTCATTATCCACGATAATAGTGAAAAGAACTGAAGTATTGCTTTCGTTTTGATTAGAAATTCGAAAACTCGAAAAGGCTGCTACGCGTTCGAATTGCCCACGGACGTCTTTCACGAATGCTGGCGACGGGGATGCTCAAACTTGGTTCTTGGAGTGCATTCACTATCATATCGTCCATTACACTGTATTCATCGTTCGATTGTGGTCACTTTCGAAATCGCCGAGCTTACCTATTCTTTCAGTTAGCGTCTCTGTACGTAGCCAGCAAAAGCCGTTCTTTTCTTTACATTCTTAGCCTTGTTTGTTCTTTCTTTTTTCTTGTCCTTTCGATGTTACATACGCGTTAGTTTTGAATTTTTTTCTTCTCAGAAACCAATCTTCGTATTGCGTGAAACTTTGTGTGCTATTTCCAGTGATCACAACTGACATATTCATGTTAGGAAAGAGTGCAAGAATTTTCCGCGCAAGATTCCTTTAACCCGTGAAAATCGCAGATGGTTTAATGTAACGTAATTTCTGGCGAAGAATCCCTTATGGTTTGAGGCACCTTTGAACGACTGAGCGGCTAGAGCTCGCTTTTGTTTCCTTTCACAGGATTCCATAGGGTATCGTGAAGTTCTTTTGAAGCGACTTTTACCATTTTTTCGACAACAGATCCCCTCGATCCTTGATTTTTACACACGATAACGCGGCTGTCCATGCCGGTCCTTCCACGCCAGATGGAATTGCAGGAAAAAATGTGGCAGTTATCTGGTGGCCACCATGTTATCTGAATCAGATTCCAATAGAGAATCATTGGGCCTTAATTGTTATAAAGTTCCACAGCAAAGTAAAGCAAAATGGAACAGCCGAAAAGCTGAAAAGGTCGATCATCGGCGCCAGACGAATTTCGATCCTACTGTAATAGCTAATTTGGCTACCAGCATTTCAAAACGTATTATTGTGTTCCTTATGATTATGGAGGATCCCATTATTGAAAATTCGTGACGTTTTTTCGTTATAGTAAAATCTCTCGACAAGTGATGTGTAGTCATATTTGCGAAACGGTGAAAATACGTTCTAAGGAAGATATTTTAATAATTCTGAATCGAGATTTCTCCAGAAATCAAGTATCAAGGTTTTTCGTTATGGGGAAACTATTGGTAATAGCGGCATTTTCCAAAAATGCACAGCAACTTTGGAATAGCAAAAATTTAGGGTGGACCTATATTATGAAACGCAGTGTATGTCTTCATTAGCTTAGTACAGAGCCTGCTAGCCAGCATAAAGACAGATTTATTCGCATTTCGTCTCTCCTTCTCGTACAAGTCGTCTATCTCCGTGTTCTTTGCCTTGGCGTCGATAGCATTTCACAACTTTTGAAGAGACGAGGATCTCTGGGCTTTGGCTACCCCGCCAGCGCATGCATACCTCCTTCCGCTCCACACTAACTAAACTTCCTTCCTGACAAGGCTGCCTTGTTTTCCCTGACAGCACGTTTCGTTTACTTTTAGGCTTCGTAGAATAGCCGCAACGGTGCTAGTTCATGACTGCTGGAGTCTGAATGAACCTAAAGTCTCGTTTCTGCTTGCCCTTCTCCGATTGCAGATTCCACTATCAAACTCTCGCTCCATTCTTACCCTGGTTTTTTTAAAGGAACTCTATGGTAACGTGCCAAGAGGGGTATGCCAGGAGGGTGGAACCGCTTCTTCGCCAAGGAGAATCTTGATGCATTTTAGTTCTCAGAAGTGTTTTTCTTTGAACACACAATGAAAATTTGTTTGCATCTCTGCGCTGCGGTAGGCTACCTTCAGAGATTGCCTTTCGTGAGAAGTGCTAAAGACCGCCAGATCGTGGGCTAAGGCCAGGTGCAGGATCTTCCGTCTCTTTGCATTCTTCACGGCCATCCTGCGTGACCGCTTTCCAGGCCTATTCTGCTTTTGTCAACGTGGCCATTCAAATCACCAGCCAGGGTACGATAGCCTTCCTCTGTCCTTCAATCAGATCACCTAGTCCAAGTCCACATAAAACTGATCCTCCTCACTTTCGAAGTAGCCGACTTGCGGTGCAAGGATAGACACAGAGAAGGGGAATTGACAACACTTTCCATTACTCCTCCGTATCTATCCTTGCAGCCGTGATTCGATCGCTGATCCTGTTCACAGCGGAGACATAGTCCTTGAGCGACTCCGCTACCGCTATGGCCACGCCGTTCCGCTTGGTGTCTTCTCCATTGTAGTAGAGCTTGACACCTTCCCCGATTTCCTGGCCTTAGCACCTTTCCATCGCGTCTCCTGAAGGCACAGGACTTCTTCCTGCGCGTCATCAGATCAGCAACCTCTCGGGACTTTCCAGTTAGCGACTCCTACGTTCAGAGTCCCAATTCGAACTAGCTTCTTTGGCCGAGGCCGTTCACTCCTCGGTAGCCCTCGCATACTGACCGCAAAACTTGGGCGAGGGCTCTGCTCTGCCAATTTGAGGTAACGTCCCAGCATTATCATTTTGGGTTTTGCTACTTTCGAACATTATGATATCACCGTGGTCTTCATCAGTGGGCAGTCAGCCATTCGCGACAAGAAAAATGGAGGTAACTTCAAGGGTTCATGAAATCTCCCCACTAAAGGCTCACTGGCAATGGCGGACTTTGCCTTTTTACATCTACTGATGGTGAGACACATTTATGACTTCTAAGAATGTTGAATGGAATAAGAAAGAAATAACTTACCGCTTCTAGGCGGTCCTTGATCTGCTGCAGCAGAGCGTCGGCACGCTTTGTGCGAGTACCCTGGACCACGGGCTCCTTATTCAGAACATCGATTAGCTGAAATATTCACCGCCATTGTAATGATGCTCTGAATTTCCATGCGTTATGCATTCTACAGTTCGCCTTTCCAGAAAAAAAGCCGGTGCTGAGATGACTCGACACTGGAAAAACAGCAAAAAGATCTTATTTGATAGACTCCGAAGTTTGCAGCTTTTCAAACGTTTCATTTATAACCATGTGTATCTAAAAAATATTGCTCCATGGTATTTAGCACAAGTTCGAACAATTAAGTTGACCCATGGCGTGCAGAGGCTGCAGATGATACAGCACGCTGATTTGCCTCTGTATGGCCGCTTGTTGGAGTTGATGTCTGTCTTCATAACATCTTCAAGGTCTTCACCTTCGAAAGCTTCATAAAATCCGAGTAGGATTTTCTACGCGTCATGCTAATTTCTTTTTCAGTTCACTCGCCCACTTGGCGAACTGAGTTTTTCTTTGCTTATGTGCGTGACCACCGAGATGTTTTCTGACGATTACTCAAACAAGTGAACCTGATCGTAATCGGGAGACAAACAACTTGTTGTATGTACTAGAGTCCAACGCTGCTTCGCGCATACTTTCTCAATATTGTTCTTCGTAACAATAGAAGCTTTTCCTACACACCCAATTCAATCGATACTAGCACCCAGTTGATTAATCTTCACGATTAGGTTGTTGCAGGCTTCCTTGGAGACCCTGGTTCGCTTTGCAGCGTAACACAACAGGCACCTTGACGTAGCACACGAGTCATCACTCAAGCCCAAGGCTTGAACAATCCAAACTAACTTTTGAGTGATAAACTTAAAGAACGAACATCTTATTGATGACCGAATGCGCAGAAGGTCTGCTCAAAACTACATCTGCTCAATTTCAAAATTGTATACGGAACGCTATTGTTGTCGTGATTTCTGGCAACCCTGTAGGTTCACATGAGCACCAGCTGTCTTCTCGATACACCAATTTTGCCTAGAAATGCATCCAATGCGAAGGCAGAAGTGAATGCTCACTCACGATCATATGCTGGTGCAACGCCATGTGGCACAAATTAGGGTCATACTTTTCTATAATAAAGATTGTAAAGACTATAGAATGAGTACAGCATCCGACAGCAGCGTTGTTGTCAACGCACGACTGGTACCATGCGACTGCGCCTCCAGCAAGTTGAATGAACGCTCTTTAAATCTTTCTAAGCCAGCCAGAAAACTGCTTTCCTCAAAAAATATCTCCGAAAGAGAAGCCACATGACCAACGAAACAATATTGCCTGGTTGACGACCTCCTTCTGAATAGGTCTCGGAAGCTGGCAGCAACGAAAGAACCAGGATGGCTTCGATACTTGTGATTTGCAAAAGGTCAGAAGATGGTTTGATTCAGAGAGCAGTTCAAAGCTGTAAAACGCTGCACAAGGAACTTGTATTTTATTTGAAACCTCTGAGGACATACGGGTTATAACAATAGTAATTGTATGTAATCAAAGGCCAAAACAGGATTGACATTTTTCTCCGAATTTGGTTGGCAGAACTTGTCTCAGGACTTTCTGGAAAGCTGGCGCAGTTAACAACCACGACTTAACAATGCCACTTTACCTCAAACGCTCGTCCGGTTTTATCATAGACTACAGTGAAGTTGATCACATTAGGTGACGCTACCTCCAAGCTGGCAGGAATCGAAGTTGCTGGTCTAAATTGATTGCATCAGGTTACATTTTTCCTGCAGTCTGCTAATAAACAATCAGTGGTTAGGTGAACCAAATGTCAAATATCCTGAGCGGAGCTTGTTTTGCGGGAAATAAAACTTTTTCAACCACACTGCTGAGGTCATATAAGCCAATTGCACAAAAGCGGAGATAGTTCACAGTAATAAAAGCTTGTAAAGCCTTGCTCATGATTTTCTAGAGTGAAAGGAGTAGCGGAATAGCTCACATAGGTGAACTATGGAGAACAAAAGCGAAGCGAAATATAAAAACCATGTATACACTAACCAAGTTTTAATGTGGAATTCATCAAATTTATTAAAGAATTCACTGTGCCTAGGAGCATCGCGCAATTGAAAAGGCGGAGCCAAAGGCGAGGCATGGAAAGAAGTTGGCTTTTGGCCGGCTACGTATCAGGCGACGCAATGAAAGAATCGGGTTAAAGCGCGCGATTTCGGAGAGTAAAGACAAATCGATCGATAGAATAGGATGGAGTAGAACCTTAAAAAGTGAAAGTCGCCATTCCGTCGCGCAGCCCAAACTGGGTGAGAATCGTGTCGAGGACGTGGTCAGATCAGTACGACCCCCCCCCTCAGATCGGGGTCTTGATACGACCCCTCTAACTTTGATTTGATGTGAATAAGCGAGTTCCATCAATGCACAGCAAAGCATTCAGTTGCAGCGCGGTTTATCCGTGGGTCAGATTTGCCGAAACCCCGCTCGAAACCGTCGAAATCTACACTCTCGATGAAAAGGTTCCATTCCCCCATTTCATAACCTTTGGAGCAGTATGTGGTAGGGTTAGATAGAGCTGGATTTGCTACTACCGGGCAATATTGAAATTGATCTAAAAGCTTTACACTCAAAGAGATAGGGTCTCTCACATTCTGTAAAAATGCGGAATTTTTCAAGCGAGTTGTAGATGCGTTTTTACTTCTGTCTTGAGGTTGTTAGGTGGTAAATTTTATTCTGGCCAACGTTTCGACGGACTCGTCGTCCACGACTTCGATGACGACGACTTCATTTCTATCCTCTTTCTTTCGTAGAGCTGACACAGGTTGACCGTACATGGTGATTTTGTTTGATGTAATCTTCGAGGTTATAGCTAATCCTTTTAGAGAACTTCTGCTATTTATCCTGGTGCACTCTTATTTCTATTCGTAGTGAGAATTTGGAGCACCAAGCTATGGTTTTCTTTGAGCTCCTAAAAATGGCTTCGATGCTCATGGTAGAGCCATCAGGCGCGTATAAAAAGAAAGTCTGGCTTTCACTCGCGGAGGGAAAGGGAGCAACTCAAACCGTAACTCTAATAGAATTACCATACACCGGACAAGTGCTACCATCGTTGCTGGATGGATAAAAAAATTCAACTGTAAGGAGACTTCCGAGGGGTGTCCTATGATTTTGCAACGCACTGTATTATATTCAAAATACAGCACTCCATTGCTGCAGGAGGCGCGCTATGAATTTCGTGACAAACAGACGCACACACACAGACATACTTAGCGAATTAATATAGTAGGATGAATCAATCTGTACGCCTCACTATCACTTAGAGGCTATGAAAATTGCACTTCCGGAGCAATTTTTCGCTCCTTTTTGGCAGCGATAGGGCTGCTCAAAAGATCAACCTCTTTACCGTGCTTGCAAGTACTTCTGGAACGCAAGAGAAACTATTTTGAATATGCCTACTGTCTTGAAAGGTCTTTCCGGTAAGGTACAATCAGGTATTGAGATGTTATTTTAGCGTCATACCATGATTGTTATGCTGCTATAAGGAGTGTGAGGGGAGATGGAAACATTCAATGACTGAGCCATTGCACATCTTGGGACTGAGCCACAGGGAGAGCAATGGATTCAGAAGGATGTGGCAATTCGCGACCTGCCTGGCATTTCTCCCTCCTTTGCGCTTGGTCCTAGTTTCACCTACCGTCGGCCCTGTTTCGATCCCCCTTTCCAAGACCACGAGCACCAAAAGGCCGACATGTCACAGTTGCTCGCGTTGTGGAGATCACCCCTTCGTAATAAATGTGAAACGAAATGCAGCACTCGTGTGGTTTTAAAAAGGTGTTTCGACACACGCAACAGTAGTTGCTCGTAGTTTTGATTCGTGTTTGGAAATCGAGAAGGAAAATGGTAAAGAACGCACGGCTTGATAGGTGTCCTCATTATAACTCGTTTTTTCCTTAACATCACCTTCACTCCACTCCGAGCAGTTCCCTGCGCACCAGGCGAGTTTTGGGGAGGACTCTTTATGACTAGCACCTAAACTATTCGGTAAGTCATCAAGGGTTTGCTCGTATAGCTCATAATGACGAAGCCTAAAAGATCTTGTGACCTCTTCACTACATCGCCCCAAAACATATGCATCCATTTCCTCTTTCTTTTTTATTTCTGCTGGTTGCTCCTTTGAGGACAACTTATCCTCTCGACCATAGAATGTCTGAATCATTGAAAGGTTTAAAGAGTTTTCTTTCAGAACCCCCCCCCCAACTTTAATTTTGGGTCACTCATGCTTCGAAATGTTCAAGCACGAACTTTCGAAGCGGCTTGGTATGAGTTAAAAAGTATTAATTAATACAAGCGTTCTCCCTCCCTATGCTCGAACTTTCCTTTGTCAAGTGACACAAAACATCGAAGGCTCTTAACATGATATTTATTTATTTGCTAACATATGCCAACATATAACAACACCGACAATGTATTCCAACATACCCTATATCTCTCCATTTCGCGAAGGATATAGGCAATAATAACTGCAATAGCCACTGCGACAGAAATGCCGAACGCGATTGCGGCCGGCACCCATGACGGAACATCAATCGAAACTTCACAACTGCTCATCTAAAACTATTTAGAAATGGTTCATGCGCTGGTGTAGCTAGGGAAGGGCGTCGCTATATGGACTGAGACTCTGAGCGAGAGAGTGGAAATGAGGGAAGAAACTTCCGTTGAATTCGAATTGCTCACATACCCTCTTCCCTGGTCCCCTCTATGGGGGCGGGACTAGGATAAGGGGTGTTAGAACTTCTGCATAACGAAGCCCCCTTATTGACCAGCACCGTCCACTGATGAATTAAAACAGTGTAAGGCAACGTTCGGGATCAACGAGTCAGGCTATAAAGCGAGCAGGGAAGATATGTATGTATGCATCGATCGGACCAATACGACAGTAAGGCAGCGTTCAATTTTGGCCAGCGTACATGCGAAAAGGCGGCTAGGCGATGACTAAAGAAAGCATACGTGTCGATTGATTAGGCGAGTAGGCGAGTAGAGATACTGAGATAGGCTTGCAGGAGAAACCTCCGAGTTATGCCCACTCGTCCGTGATTGGCTACCACCTCACAGGTTACCGTGTGCAGACGCGAACCAGCCAATCATAGACTAGTGGGCATACGTATGCTGCCGACACTGCTGCGGCTCTACTCAGCAGTTCCGCGCAAGTTCTAGCTGAGTAACAGAAACTTTTTATCCCGCTCCCGAGCACCAGCGGTCACCTACGCAGTGATCCGCCTAATCGTCTCATCGCTTATTCGTATAATTGCATAATCAACACGTATGTATGCTGTACAGACCGTCCCCATTGGCTGACTCGTATCGCATGTGCGGTCGCCAACTGTGAACGCTGCTAAACCGACTGACGGCAAGCTCTGGACAAATATGGGCGCTCTTTAGTGGAGGGAGCTGCGTAACAAACCGAAAGTGGAAAGAGGAAAGGGAAATCAATGAAAAAACCTAAACTTAAGGCCTTAAAGGCAAAAGTCGGGCTCAATAAGGGGGTATTATGGCGATTGAAACTGAGTATAGAGATGCGAAGTGGAACGACAGTGGAGAAAAAACTGAGAAAAACCGTCGACAAGGCCGTTAACAAAACCCTCTTTCCCACTAGCAGTGAAGGAGGCTGGCTTGGGAAGAGGCACGTACAAACAAGTTTTCTGGAGATGTCAGTCGTTCTATCGGTTGATACGGCAATCAACCTAGCTGATTTCACACGTTATGCCAGCCACGCACCACATCCCAAGGTGGGCGGTCGTAGCGGGGCCAGGCGGCGATAGCGCATAGTACATGCCCTGAGGGCCTTATTACTGCGCCGTTTCGGGTTTTGAGTGTGGGAACATCTCTACGGGTGCGAACCAGTCCTCGGCATTCCGAAAGGCTGGTTTGGTAACAATACCCCGATCTTGCTTTGAACGCTACCCCATAACGTGAATGAGGTACGATGTTGAGACAGGTATCAAAAGAAACACAAACACCGAGAGTAGCACGCCCGTTCGAACGGGCGCCCTAAAAGTGGCGGAGTGTTGCAATAGTCGTTATGGTTGCACGTTCGTAATGGACTAGCCACATAAATTGCACAATTTTTGACAACGAAGCTGGCGTAACCTATGAAGGACCGTACCCCGCAATTTTTCTAATGGCATCTTCCTATCAGTCGGGCTAATCCCGAGGGTTTGCTTTCAAAAGTGTGAGCAAAAATAACTACAGATGTCTCGATTAGGTTCGCTCCGAATACTAGCGCATTGTTAGTAGGTGAATAGAGAAGTGGGCGAATAGGCGAGTCGGCGACAACGCGACCGCTGAGTGGGTGAAGCGAATCACTGGTGCAATCCTACTCGTCTAATTGCCGAGCCCAATCGACACTTATTTCGGCTGACCGTAAGTGTGATCTATAACTAGCGTAGTTGTGCACTGCTTAACCAAAGTAGGAAAAACCGTGTGCGTTGGTCAGGTTACGTGCTTCTATGGTAGTCAGTGTGTTAAAAGCAATATTTCGCTTTACTGGCGAAGATGAATGCGTGACTTACTGGCGCTCAGTTGGAGGTGCAGTCGCAGCAAGACAAATCACGTCCTGCGAAAGTTTTCTGAGAGCTTCCAGGGCTCTTATGATTAGTCTTTAAATTTATGCTTGATGCTGATAAGCAACAAAAAGAAAACGGTGGAACGAACCAAATCTCAGCTTGTTTCAATGGGTAAATGAAATGCATCCACACCCTAACGAATCTCCAGTGATGTTTACAGTATTATGCGTTATCAGGGATGACCATTCATCGGCATTGAGGCTTTATTCTAACGTGATAAATGTTATATAACACAAAGAGGCATCAATTTTATTTCAAAAGAATTCCAAAAGTCCACGTATTCGAAAAAACTCCAAAATTCCAAAAAACAGCAAAAAATTCAAAAGAATCTCCTTTGAAATCTTCTGCGATATTTCGGTGTTTAACACCTTCTTCAGGCATGTGTATGCCTCAGCCAAGGATTTAGCTGCCCTTACGGGAGCCGCGCCGTTGGAGTGGAATTGTGTGGATTCCAATTGTTGTGTTGTGTGAAAAACTGTGTGGAAAGAAAGGGTGTATTCCGATAATCACCAGCGGCTAGCTCCAATTGCTCCGCAGCCACTGAAATTGAGCTTCAGTGCAAATGCCGCCGCAACTGGTGCCTTGCTCTTCTCGTGACGCCATAGTGGAAGCCGTCAGCGGAAGGAGGAGAGAGAGGGGAGCTTGCGGAAGGTATGGGTTGCGTGGCGGAGTCCTGGCGCCTTTGCGGTTCAGTTGTTAATTTCAACGCTTGTCCGCCGGGACGGAACAGGCGAACGTGCCTACGGACCGTGACTAGGACAAGGCTCCCACGAAGGAGCACAAAAGAACAACGCGTTCGGCACTTTTTAGAGGCATTCAGTTTTCTCACACATTCAGATTCTCTACAGCGATACTTCGAAATCTCCACTCACAGGGATAGTACCACGCATACCATCCCTGGGTTCTGCGCTCGACCGACACGATAGTCTTCTAGACCAATACGACGCGTTCGGTGGTATACGCGGTCGTTCGTGGTTATGACATAGTACCTCATCCTTTAGGTTGGTTAAAGTCCTGATTTTTGATCCTTCAAAGCAACCAGAACGAACTGTCTGATTAGGAAGTGAAGCAGGAATGAGACTCTACAGATATGGTTTGTTCTATAATACAGGTTCTTATTTGTTTGTATTGTTATGTATATTTATGAATGTTATATTATATTATAATATACTATGGAATTGCAATATATATGTGTTTATAAGAAGTTCTATATACAAGTAGTTGCTCGAATCTATTTGATCACTTACAAAAAACATATTTATTGGAGAAATTAATTTAAACTAAACTCTATGTCCTCCCTTCCCTTACTGATGAGCACAGAGGGAGGAGACTTCACTTGTTTGGTCTCCGTCTAAGGGTCACGTGCGAAACGGAGACTAAACGACTTCTTTGCTCACCACCCCTTCAAATATATGTGAAAATTGAAGAATATCGTTAAAATTTCGGTTTAAACATCATAAGCAAGATAATAATAAATAGATTAGTTTGATTCAACTTGTTTCTTATTATAAACATATATACTTCATTGCTTTGTTTTGTGTGAAGCTGTTGAGAGATTGAGCACGGAGGAAGCAGGAATAGACGAGAAGCCAAGATAAAACCAGACTGGCTTAGACCGGGGAGGACAAAATGCGAAGCTGCTGAAACGCTTTGAGGGCTGTGTGTGCACTAGATTAAAGCCGATATGATTGTCCACTATCCCACCGTGCTCGCGAACCAGCAGTATCGGTACACCCGGAAGGAATTCATCGCACACCTAAGTAACCCTGGGCCTGTGCCTTCAAACATCCATCACCAAAATGCAACATATACTCGATATCCGAGAGTTGGGGTGGCGTGTCACCGGAAGTGACGTGCACTTGATAGAAGCTATGTGGATAAGCTGCTTCCAACATACATCGCTGGATATCAGCAAAGCATGCTGGCAACAGCTTATCCACGCAACTTCTATCAAGTGCACGTCACTTCCGGTGACACACCTACCCCAACTTTCGGATATCGACTGTATCTCTCCAACGATTGCGATACATTTTCAATCATTCTTACTAGATATGGAGCGCTTCGTCTGTTTCCTTGCCATGAAGTTCGCTTTTACCTGAAGAACCACATGGAGACGCAGCGTCAGGTTTGGGACAAGCGGCACGAGCTATGCACTCAAACCCACGATGCTGACGAATAAATTGCTCCATTCGGTTTCAGGATAGCCCAGACTGAGAATGGAAATGAGTAAAGGATATTAGAATGGGTGAAGGATAATAGAATTTCATGCTATAGGTCTAAAAAACGTTTCGTTTTTGTGCACACGCGAGTTTTTGACATTCAAACATTCATAACTTTCTTCATAATCAACTTTTTGCAGAATCTCAAGGCTAATTAGAAACTAGAAGATTAGCGCTTTCGAAAAAGCTCCAAAATTTCGAAAAACCACTCTTCTGGAAAATAGTCCCACTGTTCCGTTTCTCATAAGAGAGGTCTTTCAGGGCAAGGTGCGCTTTTTCAAAACGGTTTTGTGCATATTGTAGGGACGCATGTAGGGAACGCAAAACCATGTTTCATTTTCGCTGAACGGTTATAGCAGTACCAAAAAAGAAGCATAAGGTACTGTTAAGGGTTCGATCCCCCGTGGCGACTAAATTTTGCATTTGGGTTGGCGCCTACGGTTTGGTGCCAAATCGCGCTAAATATCAAAATCAGATGTCAAATTCATCGTCAGGACCATTTTGAAGCCAACAAGTGGCCGCCAACCTTGATTTTAAAGGCAAAAGTCGGGCTCAATAAGGGGGTATTATGGCGATTGAAACTGAGTATAGAGATGCGAAGTGGAACGACAGTGGAGAAAAAACTGAGAAAAACCGTCGACAAGGCCGTTAACAAAACCCTCTTTCCCACTAGCAGTGAAGGAGGCTGGCTTGGGGAAAGAGGCACGTACAAACAAGTTTTCTGGAGATGTCAGTCGTTCTATCGGTTGATACGGCAATCAACCTAGCTGATTTCACACGTTATGCCAGCCACGCACCACTTCCGGAGGTGGGCGGTCCTGGATTGAAACCGACGGCCCCGGGGCTTAACGTTTTCAAGGTGG